AAACATCATCGTTTTCTCAAAATCACATAAAGCCATATTATAACATCGACTGAAATAAAAAATAAAATGAAATATTAAAATCACGATGTATATTGCTGCATTGCGCGAGTATGATTCTAGTTTAATACTAATATTGATATATTTATTTTCGAAATTTTATAATATCTTCAAAATTATATTTTATTCAAAAATAAAAACATTATCCATTTTCCAAAACCACATAAAAATCGTATTAAAACATTTACAGAGACGGAATAAAACGAAACATTAAAGTCGAGATATATCTCGCTGCATTGTGTGGGTAATCTTCTAGTATTTAATGTAGATAGATAATGTTATAATTGCTAAAATAGAATAACTGTTAAAGTTACATGTAATATTTTTAGAGATTTTAACTTTTTCATGCTATATAAAAGAGAAATAGCATTTCTCTTAATTATTCAAATAATTTTCCTCTTTATTCCATCATAAAAAATCTATTCTTTTGATCGTAACAAAGATAGAACACACAAAAATCAGTTTAGTACAAAAGTTAAAACCTTTTCCCCGATAAAGATTCCAATAAATATTTCTTCGATAATTTGAATTTGAAAATTAATTTTCTTGAAAATACGAGATGTTCAGCACAAATCGAGAAGAAATGAGGCTTTCATGTGGAGCTCGGTTGACAAAAAGATGAGATAATTTTGTTCAACTAAAAGACAAATGATATCGAGCTCCCGTTGGTCTCGACTGTGGAATGAAGTAAAAACGTACTCTGACATTGATGTTTTTAGAGACAAATTTTCATATGAGAACGATTATGATTGTAGATGATCCAACCCGCTATGCGAGCCGACTAAACCCAGAGTAACCACCTGCTTTGCGGGTAGTCTGGAATCACCATATTTGAATCTACGTGGCCACAAGGGGATTTTTATTTCTCCTTGGATTTGAACCTGAGACCTCTAGATACTTTGACATTTAGATACCAAGCTCAAACCAACCAGACACCAATTTGTGAGTTACCTTTTCATTCATATAAAAATGTAAAGAGAAATATATCATTATGATTGTTTTGGATAATATACATTATGATATAACGATTAAGTGGTAAGAAGCAAGGTATTAATATCTGCTTTCTTCTAAATTAAAATTCATTTTTTCTTTTAAAAAAAATGAAAATGAACGGTAACTTTATGCACCGATGTATGCTACCGGAGACAACTCTTCATCTCTTAGAGATTGTTGTTGCCTTGTAATAAATGCCTCCACCGTTCGCCGGAATTCTTCGCTGCTCAGTTCATCCTCAACGGCGCAACTCTTCTCCTGAGCCGCCGTCTCACCACCACCACGATCAAGTTTCTTTGACATTTTTCTCTCAGTCACCGATCGCTGTAGTTTCCGGTGAGTTTGATCATCTCTGCGTTCCACAATCATTAGATTCTCCGATTGACTCCTGCAAATCTTCTTTTCTTTACTCGGAATAATGGCAGTAGTGGAAATGCTACTAGTATTTACTACGCTTTTCTCACATCTTCGAACGTACTCGTCGTAAAAATCAACTTTTCCGTCGCCATCTCCGTTTTCAACAACTCGAGATTTGAATAACAGAATTAAGACGATCACGTTTCCGATCACAAAAACAAACCTAGGGCTAAAAACCGCGAAGGAGATTCCTCTGAAATGATCAGCGGAGATTCTAACGGCGAACGGCAGTTGAGAGGAAAACCTAGAAATCAAAATAAGAAAAACAAACATCTCAACGAATCGGAACAGAGTCGTGATTTTTTGAAGCCTGTGGAACCGCAAAATCGCGTTGGCCTTTTCCATTTTGACATTGATAGAGTTCATCTTCCAACTAAAACTCGAATTTTGAGGATCTAGCAGTTGGTGTGACTTCTGATTAGATCGTTGGAGGAAATGGAACACTGATTTAGGATGAAGAACTTGGCTCCAGCGATCATTAGAGCAAGGAGAAGCTGAGTGATTGGATTTTGAGTGGATAAACTTTGGTAGTGGGGTGTGGTATTTATAGCCCTAAAATAGAATAAATATGTCTTGTTCCCGGATCAAATCCCCATTTTATGCTTATCTGGTGAGCGTTTATCATTGAGTTTATATTTTTACTTATTTTATCGGGTAAGATTTTACTCAATCAAAATGATATCATATACAATAATTTTCTTGGTAAGCATTTACTGGATAAGAGTCGACATCCTCACTTATTGGATAAGTGCCGACTCTTGGTTCTTGTCTTCACTCTTATCGGGTAAGATTATCGATTCTCGGTATGTTCATCCAAGAAGATAACTGACCTGTGATCCGGTAAATGCTTGGCAAAAGGCCCCAAAGAGTAAATTATGAATTTGGTTGTTTGTTAAAAGTAACACTTTTCGTCCCTGAAGTTTCAAAAAATTACAAGATGACTATCGTGATTTTTATAAACCCCCGGATTATTTAATGACCGTTAATTACTGAGATGTCTGTTTATAAGAAATTACAGAGCCATACATTAATAATAATAGAACTGTACATCAAGTTTCCTTATATGGTATGAGTTACTATTACTGAATTCTTATACTGCGACCGTCCTTACAAACGATGGTTTATCATTATATTTCATCCAAATAAACATTGGTTTATCATTCAATTCTATTCCATCCAAACGAAAGAGACCCTTGTGGTACTATTTTAGATTAAGTAGAAAATGGAATGTGATAACTATAACGTTATATAATTTATTGTTTACATACTTGATTCTGAGTACCTCTCGATAAACATCAATGACGTTAGGTGCATAACTTTCCACATGTGCATATCTCTATATTTATTTCTTATAGTCAAACGGTGCCACCGTTTGAATTTTTTTTTCATAGTTTTTTCTTATAGTCAAATGATGCCATCGTTTGAATTTTTTTTTGGATCCATCCTTGCAGGAGACAAGTAACTGATATAAACATAACAAATTTTAATATTGTTGGTCAATTAAATATGGATTTAAAAAAGTTGATGACAATTAAAAATCACTTTATCTTGTTTATTCCTTATAATAAAAAATCTTATATCTTGCTTTATTACACTTGCAACTGCTAGTGATTCATCGACACGATGGATATTGATTCCTCGTGTTTTCTACTACTTGGGACTGTTTTTTTTACTACAAATTATATAGTTCTACTTAATATATGCAAGGTCTACGTTGTATGCATAAATGTATGTGTGACATTTATATATATAGAGAAAGAAAAGACGTTTCGAGTGCAACTTATCATATTTTTACAACCAATGTAATTCAATCAATTGAGATATTTATGAAAATGATGAGAGTTCATTTATTATGATTTGCATATTTATGAAAGATGATTATGACTTATTAATTATGATCAGTACATTAAAACTTTTATGAAATTATATATTTATCAAATTGAATGGACGGTTGAGATTGAGTTGTATTGGTTGTACAAATATAAATAGTTACATAATAACGCACTTCTCTCTCTCTATATATATATAATTTGTAAAATATACAATAATCCATGATAAATTTGTAAATCAAATGATCTGGATGATGAATCATTAAGTTTAAATTAAATTTATTGAAGCTGTTTTATAATTTAGTTAAAATGTGCGAAATAACAACTTATTTTTATAAATTCTTTTATTATAACATTGTACTTTCAGTTTTTCTTATTACAACAATGTACTTTCAAAATATTTTTTATTAGAGTATCGTATTTTTTAAAAAATTTATCCGTTATAGTATTGGATAACCTTTTAAATTAAATTTACTCATATACAAGATTTCTTTGCCACCTCATCGTCCACGTAGGCCATCTACATGTAAGATAGTGCTGACATGACATTTTTGTTATATCATTGTATTTTAAAAATTGTTTTATTATAACATTGTCGATTTTTATTACATCATTGTATTTTTAATTTTAATATTTTTATTTGGGGTTTAAAAGATTGAAAAAACACGGTAGACACACGGCGTGGAAGGGAGTATCTTTTAGTAGGACTCCACCTTCATCTCAATTTTTCTTTCATTATTTATTCTCCTTGTCTTAGAATATTTCTTTATTATTATCCACATTTAATATTATATATATATATATATATATATATATATGGTATAATTCAAATGCAACCATGTCTATTTGTACACCAATACAACCCAAATAATTTAGATATTTATAGAAATTATGAGAGCTTATTTATTATGATTTGAATATTTATGAAAGATGAATATAATTCATTAATTATGATCAATACTTTATATTAGGAAACAATCAAAACTTATATGAAATCACATATTAATAAAATGAAATGGACGGTTGAGATTGGGTTGTATTGGTTGCACAAATGTCAAGGATTGTATAATAACCAACCCTTATATATATATTATATAGAGAGATGATGTTTTAAATGCAATCCATCATAACATTAATTCAATTAAAATTAGAAATATTTTTTTCATGGTTTTAAATAATTGATTATGGTGTGTTATAACGTTAAGAATTGGTTATGCGGTCATGTTAACCTCTAATGTTTGACTTCGTTGAAACGTGTTATGATGCGTTATGACACATTATTTTGTAAGACAAGGTTTTTTTTTTTTACTTTTTTTAAACATATAACTTGAGATATAAATAATAATTATGTACGACACCTAAACTTAAATAAACATCCAAACGAAACATAAAAACTAAAAACCTTAAATGAGTAAATCTTTACTCTCATTCAGAGAGTTGAACGGAAATTCTTCTAAAATTGAAGAAAGTAGTAAGTAAAGACTCAAAAGATTTAGGGGCCGTTTACAGTTTACCTAAACACTTACTAGTAAAATTCAACACTATCGCTTATTTACCGGGTAAGATTGTATTCACTAAAATGCATCGTATGCAACAATTTATCCCGGTAAGCGCTAACTATGGTAAGAGCCCCCCTCCTCACTTACCGGGTAAGACCCTCGATTATTGCCTTTGCTCATACCGCGTAAGATTCTTAATTTTTACCATATCCATCTGGTAAAGTAAAGTGACTTGGTAAGCGCTTATCCGGATAAACGTTTGGTAAACGACACTTAAGATTTTTTTACTTTTGATATCATTTTCTTATAAATTCAATATATTTGATATAAATCTTACTTCCTTTTCAGCTGTATAAATTTTCGAGTTTAAATTATTTATGGGGTTTATCCAAGACACTAACACACACATGTATATATATGTCGTCTTATTAAATGCTTTGAAATACGACATGACCTCAACGTAACTCATAAGACTTGAAACTTAACCTCACCTTCACGTGTCATTTAGAACCTCGGGTTTTTGTCAACGAGTTTATCATCGTATTTTTTTTTATCAAATCCCGTTATTAATCGTCTGAGTATTTGAATGCATTTACTATGCACAATTCATTCCTATCGATTGGCATCTTGAAACCATGAATTAGAATAATGTAAGGAAGATATTTTTAGTATCTGATGTGATCAATGTTAATTTTAAGACATAATTTTTAAAGTTGACACGATATCGTTGTTATATTCCCTTTTATATTCAGATAAGATGATTGTGATTTTTGTTACGCACTTATTTGTTTTGTTCCCGGTCTTGAAATTGCCGCGAATATCCGTCTCACAAGATTCGGCCAATGAATTCTTTTATTTACTTTTAAAGTATATAATACTTATATACAACAAAAAAGATAATTAAACTCACACACCGTACTCACTTTTGATAAGATTTGAACCCCTGGCCTTCCATGAAGGCCAAAGACCTCATAATATATCATATTTTTTTATAGATTAAATATATTAACCTTCATTATTTTTTTGTTTATATTAACGACTGCTGCAACGAGTCTTTTAAAATACTGTAATTTTTCCACTTCCCATACATAAATTTTTCCACCCTTATTTTTGAAATACTTTTAATTATTTAATCAAAAGTCATTTTAAATAGGAATGAGATGCAAGTAGATAGTTACGATAGATATTAGTTATACCATCAACATTAACAGATTGGAACAAACAACAAGTGAATCCATGGAAACAGAAACAATGAGCAGAAAAATAATTGAAACAATATCTATATAATGAAATAATATTAAAAGAGTATCCATAGACATGAAAACCATGGGCAGAAAAATAATTTAAGGGTAATTTACTAAACTTTTATTTGGATAAGCGCTTACCAAGTCACATTACCTTATGAGATAAATATGACAAGAACCAAGAATCTTACGTGGTAAGAGCGATAGCAAGGTACAAGAGTTTTACCTGGTAAGTGAGTGTGACGACTCTTTCCATGGTTAGCTCTTGCCGGTAAATTATTGTATAAGATATCGTTTTGGTGGACGAAGATCTTACGCAGTAAGTAAGTGATAGTGTTGAATTTACTGGTACGCGCTTACTCGGATAAACGTTTAGTAGACGACCATTTAAACTCAATCAACAAGTGAATCAATATCCAGAAACATAAAAAAAATCCATATATGGAACATTTGGAACATATGGAAATCCATACATGGAAACACAAAAACCACAAGGGTGATGCCTAATTGGTTTAAACTTGGCTTCAAAGGCCAAAAGTACCTGGAGGTCCCATGTTCAAATCCAAGAAAGAGTAAAAATCCTCTTGTGGCCACAGAGGTTCAAATGCGGTGACTCCGTCCAAGCTATCTGCAAAGCAGATGTTCGCCCTGAGATTAATCGGCTTGCATAGAAGGTTGGATATCGAGGTTAATAAAAAAAACCCAACATGAAGTTGATATATTTTTGAACCACATACAAGAGTTGTTCGATATACAGAAAAATGGATATACTT